ATTCCATTGGTCATTATGTCTATTTTGTTGCCAATATCATGCTGTTTCTTGTTACTGTAGTTCTGTAGTATAATTTGAGATCAGGTAGTGTGGCGCTTAATTGCTTTGCTATCTGGGTCTTTTATTCTTCCATATGAATTTCAGGACCGTTTTTTCTCGTTCTGTGAAGAGTGTCATTGGTGTTTTGGTGGAGATTGCATTGAATCTACAAATTGCTTTTGGTGATACGGCCATTTTAACAACTTTAATTCTGCCTGTCCAGGAACACAGGAAGTCTTTCCATCTTCCGAGGTCTTCAATATTCTATAGTTTTCATTGTAGAGGTTTTTCACCTCCTTGGTTAGATTTATCCATAGGTAGGTTGGTTGGTTGGTTGGTGTTCAGGGTATCATGAAAGAAATTTTTTCCTGATTTCCTTCCCAGCAGGTTCATTATTGGTGTATAGTAAAACTATTGGTTTTTTAAAGTGGATTTTGTATTCCTCAAATTGTTCCATAAAGTAGAGAAGGGTGGGGACTCCCAAATTAATTCTATGAAGATAGCATCACCATGATACCAAAACCATATAAACACATCAATTAAACTACAGACTGATATTTCTGATGAACATAGATAAATCCTTAATAAAATATTAGCATTTCATATTCAATAACACATTAAGAAGATTGTGTACATCATGATCAAGTTGTTGTTTGGTTTGGTTTGATTTGGTTTTGTACCAAGGTCTGAACCCAGGGACGTTTAACCACTGAGCCACATTCCCCAGCCCTTTTTATATTTAGAGACAGGATCTAAGTTGCTTAGGGCCTTGTTAAGTTGCTGGGGCTGACTTTTGAATTCGTGATCTTCTTGCCTCAGCCTGCCCAGCCACTGGGATTATAGGCATATGCCACCACGCCTGTCTAAATTGGTTTTATTCTAAGGATGCAAGGATGTTTCAACATACAAAAATCAATAAATGCTGATGAATATCAGCTGACTATTGTTTGTCAGCTCCATAAGTCTTCTATTGGAGTATTTTTGGGTCTCATGTATAGAATCATATCTGCAAAATGTGATAATTTGACTTCTTCTCTTCCTACTTTATCTCTTTGATTCCCTTTTCTTGCCTAATTTCTCTGGCTAGTTTAAAAGACTATATTGAATAGAAGTGGTAAGAGTGGATATTCTTGACTTGTTCTTGATTTTAGAGAAAATGCATTCAGTTTTCTCCCATTCCCTATGATGCTGGGTTTGAGTTTGACATATATAGCCTGTATGATGCAATGGTAAGTTCCTTCTGTCCCTAGTTTTTTGCAGTGCTTTTAACATGAATGTGTGCTAGATTTCATCAAAGGCTTATTTCTGCTCCTGTTATTATGATCATGTGATTTTGGTCTTTAAATCTATTTATGTGATGAATTATATTTATTGATTTGCATGTTGAAATATCCTTGCATCCCTGGTATAAAAATAATTTGATCATGGTGTACAATCTTAATGTGGTCTTTAATGAAATGCTAACATTTTATTAAGAATTTTTATATCTATGATCATCATGGATATCGGCCTGTGGTTTTATTTATTTGACATGTTTATAAGGTTTTGGTATCAGGGTGATGCTGGCTTCGTGGAATGAATTTGGGTGTGCCCCCCTTTTCTGATTTCATGGAATACTATCAGGAACACTGGCATTATTTTTTTTCTTTAAAGGTCTGATAGAATTCAGCTATGAATCCATCTGGTCCTGAGCTTTTCTTTGTTAGAAGGCTTTTTTTTTTCTTTTTTGGTATTTGGGATTAAACTCAGGAGTTCTTAACCACTGAGTCATAACTGAGCCACATCCCCAGCCCTTTTTTTTTTTTGAGAGAGAGAGAGAGAATTTTTTAATATTTATTTTTTAGTTTTTGGCGGACACAACATCTTTGTATGTGGTGATGAGGATTGAACCTGGGCCACATGCATGCCAGGCGAGCGCGCTGCCGCTTGAGCCACATCCCCAGCCCCCTTTTTATTTTTCACTTTGAAACAGGCTCTCGCTAAGTTACTGAGGTTGACTTTGAACTTTGGATTCTCCTGCCTCAGCCTCCCAAACTGCTAGGATTACAATGTGTCACCAAACCTGCCTATTAGAAGGATTTTAATTGCTGGTTTAATTTCATTACTTTTTAGGTCTGTTTGGATTTTCAATCTTTTTGATTCAGATTTGATACCTTGTATGTGTTTAGAAACATGTGCATTTCTTCTAGATTTTCTGATTTGGGGAATGTAAGTTTTTAAAGTAGTCTTTGAAATTTCAGTTTTCTGTGATGACATCTCCTTTTTCATTTCTTAATTTTATTAATTTGGATCTTCTCTATTTTTGAGTAGTTTACATAGGGCTTATCAATCTTGTTTATCTTTTAAAGAACCAACTCTGTTACATTGATCCCTTGTATTACTTTTTATTCTCTATTAATTTCAGCTCTTAATTATTTCTTTCCTACTACTTATTTGAGAATTGATTTGTTCTTGTTTCACTGGGACCTTTGAGGTACATCATTAGGTTATTTATTTTGAATCTTTATGATTTTGTTAGGGAGGCATTCATAGCTATAAATTTTCCTTTTAGAACCATCTTCATAGTGTTCCAGTTTCTGGTTGGTTTTATGTCTATTCTCATTCAATTCTAGGAATTTTAAAATTTCTCCTCAAATGTCACCGGTTTCATCTGTTACTCAAAAGTTTATTGTTAAATATCCATGTGTTTATATAGTTTCTACAGTTTCTTAGTATTGATTTCTAATTTCATTCCATTATCTGATAAGATTCAAGGGAATATATCAATCTTTTTTTAATATTTGCCAAGACTTGCTTTATGACTTAAAACATGGTCTATTTGGAGAAGGTTCCATGAGCAGCTGAGAAGAAAGTGTATTCAGGTATTATTAGATGAAATTTTCTATAAATTTCATTTAGGTTTCTAGTATTTTTTTTTTTTTAGGTTTAAATGATCTATTTGTTGGTGAGAGAGGTGTGTTGAAATCACCCAGTATTTTCATGCTGGGGTCTATCCAAGTCTTTATACCAAAATTAGTGTCTGCATTATATAATTAGGTGCACCAACATTTGGGGCATAAATATATACTATCATATCTTCCTGTTGGATTATTCCCTTTAGCAGTATGATCTTTTCTCTTCTGGTTAATTTTGACTTGGAAGTTTGTTGGATGAGAGTAATTTGTTTTGACTCCATTCACATGGTATATCCATTTTCATCCTTTCACTTTCACAGTGGCTGTCTTTGCCTGCAAGGTGAGTCTTTTGCAAACAATATATAATTGGGTCTTATTTTTTAACCCATTCTGTCTCTTAATTGGAGAATTGAGACCATTTTCGTTCAAAGTTATTATAGAGATGCTTAATATTTCTTACCATTTTGATTTTTAATATTTTGGTTCTAATTCTTATGTGGAGCAAAGTCCTTTGTAAATTGACTCATTTTAAAACTAGTCTTCAAGGCAGGGGAAATTGCTCAGTGGTGTTTGCTTAGCATGTACAAGGCATTGAGTTTGGTCTCCAGCACTGCAAGACAAAAGAAAAGAGTAAACCAGGCTTCACTGAAGCTGCAACTGACCACTCTCTTTTTTAAACCAATTTGGTAGAAGGTGGTTTGAAAATACAATTGGAATTCAGGCTGCCAGATTCAGCAATTCACTCAGTATGAAAAGTGAATTTCTTTTAAAGCATATTTGATGTTATTTGCCTGTTTAGCTTCAATTCAGCCTCTTAGTATGACCAAATATTAGAGGATTTTATTTTTTATCAGCAAATGCTTATTGCCAGAACAAATAAAAAAAGCTATAGAACTACCTGAAAATTGGCTTTTTGGTAATTTTCCCATTATTAAAGTAATAGATAGATGCTCTTGAAATTATAGAAACAAGTAAAGGAGAAATGGTTAAGGATTCCCCAAATACCCACCACCTAAAGAAAACCCTTATTTTGTTTATCTTGGTTCCTATTATGATGGAAGCACTATTTTATAGTCTTTTAGATTATTCTAAAATGTTGATGCATAATACCATTTTAATTTTTTTAATTCTAATTTGCTATATGGCAGCAAAATGCAATCATTTCATATTACAAAAATAGAGCACACTTTTTCATGTCTCTTATTGTATACAAAGCATAATAGTATCATTTTAGTCATACTTTATTCTCTCCAACTTTAATAAAAAAGGAAAAAATGTGGGCTTTTAATTTTTTTGCTTATAATTTCTTCTCCTAAATAAATCTTTATATGATTTGAAGTAGTAACTCAAAAGGACAATAAGACAATAGGAGAACAAGAACCAAGTTAAAAAGTTGGTTCCACACTCTTGGTGCAATATGAAACAATGAAAGCAGAAAAGACTATACACTTGCTAGATGTGAAGGGCTTTACACATGGTAAAAAATTTAATCCTTTCACACAAGATGGATACTACTATGATTGCCCTTTTTGAGCTGGAAAAATAAGACACAGAAATTATGTAACTTGTCCAGGGTCACATAACTAGTAAGTGGTATAGTTAACTTCCATGCAGCTTCTCAGATTACTTGCAGCTGACATAAAATCTTTTGTCAAGTTCTCCTTACTTAGGGACTCTGCAGATGTGTTCTGTGAAGAGCCAAGCAGATAATATTTTAGGCTATGGAGGCCATAAGGTCTTTATGTGGGTCCTGTACATTTTTCTATTTTATGATATTTCCAAGAGATCAGTGACTACCAATACTAATAATAACCACTGCCTTAGAAGAAAGATAATCTATTAACTCAATAGTAAAAGGAAATGATATACTAAAAGTTTTCAAGTACTTTGTACATCATACTTTTTTTTCCCTAATTGACCTATTGACAGGTATCTAAATCAGAAAGAATTTCATTGACTTAGATATGTCTTTTTTCTTCCAGTTCCATAGTTAGATATTAAGTGCCGATCTTTGTACCTTCTCAGCCATGTGAGATCATGACTGAGGTCTCCCTGTCTATTTTGCAGCCAACAACTACATCGAATCAAAGTGTCAGGCTGTTATCGAAGAACTGCGTAAGTGTTGTGCTCGATATCCCAAGGGAAGATCTCTCGTCTGTTCAGGATTTGAAAAAGAAGAAAACCAGACACTGAAGTCTCCAGCAAAGTAAAGTTCTGCTGAAGAATTAATTAAATGCTGCTCCATGTTTCTACCAAGCACATTTTATTTATCTTCCTTTCTTTAGGCCAGGTAGCAGCAAATAGCAAAAGAAAAATCAACTGTAAGAGCTAGTGGAATATGCCATCTATGCAGAACAGACGATTTAAGACATGTGTAGAATGTCATAAAATTGAGCTGCTAAAATAAACCTGTTTAAGTGAAAAATTTTGGCTTGGTACTAAGTGTATTTTAAGGATCTTCAGTACAAGTTACTAATGAATTCTCTTTAGCACTTGAATTCATACCACCAGTCATATGAGACATGAGGTGAAGACTCATGCCTCCAGGGTAACAAGTATAGATTACATGCTGAATTAACTCAAAACTTCCTTTAACCTAACTCCATACCTATTGTACTTCCAATAATACAAAATGTCCTTCTAGGTGCCAGTAGGAATATTTCTTTTTGCTTTTACATCCCCACCACAGTGCCTAGTCAGAAGAAGGTGCTTAATATTTTTTCACTCAGTGGTATGAAAGGCATAGAAATGATTTTTGTAATGTTTAGTGATCCCTAATTTATTGTGAATGAAGAAAAAATTCCATTGGAAGTCAGGCAAGCAGGAACAAAATAAAGTCTTAGATCATATACCTATTTTTTATATCCTTATAGTCAAAACCTGCTCCAATAAATCCAGATATTAATTAATAAAAATATACTGAATGAAGCCTGTTGACAATTGACAGCTACCTTATGGCCATCCACTTGGCTCAAATAGATACTAGAACTGTCATTGCCCCTCCTTCCAAAAAGAAAGATGACTTTATGAGCAAATTCTGATAGGTCCTTGATGATTAAATGCCATTATTATTTTAGGCCAACTGTTTCCTTTTTTTAACCTTTATTATTTTATTTATTTTTATGTGGTGCTGAGGATTGAACCCAGTGACTCACATGTCCTAGGCATGCCCTTTACCACTGAACTACAACCTCAGCCCCTAGGCAAACTGTTTCTTTAAAGCAGCATTTCTGAAAGTGTTTCTAGGAACAGTAATGAAAAAAAAAAATCTTTGGATATTTGGGGAATACTAGGTTAAACACAGGTAAACAGGTTTCTTTCCTGTTGGACTTTAGAGTTTTTCCTATGTTAATGTGAATTATGATTCTTTGGAAAGGACTATTGTATTGCCATTGTGAATCCAGTTTGCAGACAAGAGAAATGTTGCTTTAGAGATGTCTGGTCCACACACCAGGGAAGCAATGCTAAATTTCCATGAAATAATTTAAATAAACTCTCATGTTAATAGTAAAACAATTTAATAAAGCATTTTACAACTATAATGTTTACATCATCTATGGATCTAAATTACATTTAAAATTATCAATAGATTGTGGTGCCAAGATTTACATTACCATTACAAATCAAATAGATGGCTTTTCTGTGTTTTAGTTGTGGCCTTCGTAACAATGTCCCTCTGCTGCCAGGTATTTAGAGTTTCGAAAGATTCAAAACAATTTTCCTTCCTTTAAACAGATATATTGGAAGCCATTGGTTTAATCAATCTCATTCTCTTTAGCCATTATTATGATGTAGATAAAAATACAATAGCCATTAGAGAAGGTTTAAAATTCAAATGTTTTTTATGTGATAGGAGCTGATATTAACAATGAAACTCAGTCTTCAGGGAAGTTGGAAACTATGATCTCCTCTATCTTAGAGATTTAAAAAAAGCACCACAGTACAATTCCCTTCCTTGCATCTACTCAAATTTTGTGAATTGTAATATCGTACTTTTGTTCGGTATGTAGCAGTTATCTCAAGTTGTAGGGCACTTAATTTATAATGATATTGAAGTCCTATTAAGTAGTCACATTAATAGCAGAACTATAATTTTATTAGTACCAGCTACCAATTCTTTTACTTCAGTGGCTCTCAGTCCTGGCTGCTCATTAGAAACATCTGCAACATTTTGAAACCTCAGGCTGCCACAACAGCACCCTAGACCACTGAAGTCAGAATCTCTAGGATGAAAACCAGGCATCAGTAGATTTTACAATTCTACAGATACACCCATGTGCAAAAAAGGTTGAGAAGCACTGTTCTCAATAATGATGTCATTTCTTAACATTTTAAAATTGTAAAAAGTTTTGGCAAGTCAAAAATGTGAAAAAAGTGCAACACTGTTTTCTTTAGAAAAATAGTTTGTAAATTCATGATTCCTTCAGAATAAAGGCATCACAGATACAAGCCACACTGTAAGATTTCTGGGAAATCAGGTCAAGAACTAAATTAGGTTTCCATCCTGTTTTCCAAGAGTTCACACTAATACTGTGTAAGTGACTATTGGGCAGAGAACCCTTTTTAGTTCTGGACCTAATTTCCAAGAAATCATACTGGACATGCATGACAGGGGATCAGAAAGGGGAACAGTCTAATTTTCCTACAGGATCGCATGTAGAAGTTTCCCTCATGGAAGAAACAGATCATCCAAAACAATGATACTCAAAAATTCTAAATCCATCTCTGTACTATTTTTTCAAGCAGAGACTCATGGTATTTTCCCAAACTGTAAAAAAAGTACAAGATGCAAATAAAAATTCAACCATTTTTTATGCCTATCTTTCTGGCAAACATTGATCAAAAGAATGAACAAAAAGCACATTAATAGTTAACCACACAGGAACTCTGCCTTTCAAAACCACAAACACCAGCCCTAAGGGAGTGTTAGCTAGAATTACATTAAACTCCTCCATCTTGAATATGTCTGGTCTTCTTCCAGAATCCACAAGATAGTAACTGTTCAGATCCAGAAGCTGAGTGGTGGGAGGTCCAAGCAAACAATGGCCATTTGGATGAAGGATAGTCTTGTTACCATATTATCAGAATGCCAGTAACACTTATGACAGTGGGGTTGCTCAAGCAGGTTTCCTTTGAGCTCAAGGTCAGCAAAGAGAATCAGAGCTTGGGGAGACTAGAAGCTTATGAGTCAAACCTTTCAAGCCCAAGCAGGCAGCTGCCAGAAACTGCCCCTGACCGCTAACCTCACTCCTTTGACTCTGGGGACAACCTCAGCAAAGAGACAAATGTTACAGCTCGGATCTAACAGGTCCCAAGTTTTCATCCTACCCTGTCCCATCCTGGGAGGGGCACTGCGTTGGAGGGCTGCCAGAGTAGTGAAAATGCAGTGCAGAGCTGTAGTGACCTGGGAAAGGGCAGAACGTGCTTGGAGGTGCTGAAGGGCACAAATGGGGAAAGGGCTCTCTCAAGCCCCAGGACAAGGAGTTTTCACTACATGGGTCCACAAAGTTGAAGATTCAAGGATAATGTTCTGACATACCCACCAGCAGGAGGTGCCAAAACCCCAAACACATCCAAAACAAGTTTATCTGGCCATACATGTAGACAATGCTCACCATAAATACCAAAACCAGAGACCCTGGCATCAGAAAAAAGATGTAGGGAACAAGGGAAGAACATTATATATATATTATTGGAACTGTTACCAATAAATACACTCCAAGCAAAAATAAAGGAGGACCTATAAATTAAAAGAGACTTATACCATCCAAATGCAATATGGACCTTAAATTTTGATTTGAACTAAATGTGAAACACTTTTGAGATGGGGAAATATTGAACCAGATATTTGACATTAGAGAATTATTGATTTTTGACTTGATAATAAGGTATTGTACTTATGATTTTAAAAAGTACTTACCTTTTAACAATATATACTGAAATACAATAAAATAATTATTTGGTATTTGTTTTACAATAATTGGTTAGTTAAAATTTCATGGTGGTTTTACATGGGTGATAGATACATGGGGAAGTCAGTGTATTCTCTAATTTTATGTGTGTTTGAAAATTTCCATAATAAAAAGTGAAAATAATTTTTAAGTTCATGGAAAAAATATGTAGCAGAGAGGTGCTCATACCATTATGATTCGATGATTCATACATATTGCAAGCAAAATAACTTTGTTGCCTTAAATGTTACTGTAATTTAATGAGGAAAATGCAAATAGGTGAATTCTATAAAGTTCTACACATCCACTGGTAGTTTCAATTTTCAGATTCAATACATCATTCTCAAGATAGTTAAAAACTTTTTTTTGTAGTGGTGCTGAGGATTGAACCCAGGGCCTTGTACATGCTAGGTGAGCACTCTACCAAATGAGCTATATCCCCATTTTACATGGATTGACTGCAAGTTTTAAGATTTACATCTGAGTAAAACTAACCTTTAATAGTAAGTTTTTGTTCTAGAAGGTTAAAATTCATATATTCAGCAAATACTCAGAACTTATTAAGTGCTTGGCCCTGTGACATAAAGATGAAGACAATGGAGAAGAAGAACATGCTGACAGGTACTGAAGGGCACAAATGGGGAAAGGGCTCTCAAGGCCTGGGACAAGGAGTTTTCACTTACCATCCAAAGCTGATATTCTAGTTAGAATTACAACAAAATGTGTTAAGTGTGTGTAAATTTTTAAAGAATAATTCTGAGAAATGGAGGGGTGTCATCAAGTGACACAGACTTCACTTGATGACAGAAATAATTCATTTCATGTGTGCTATCATTATTTTTCTTAATTCTGAATGTCTGGAAATGTTGCTTATTTAAAATTTTGGTTTAAGAGATATGAAAAATTGTACTGTATACATGTAATAAGAATTGTAACGCATTCCACTGTCATTTATTTTTAAAAAATCAACAATAAATAAATAAAATTCTGGATTAAATGCTGCATTTCATACAAACTGGATAAAGAATTAGAATTGACAACGAGGATCTATGGCTACCCCTAATGCTGTGACACAGGAATAATACTTCACATTTCAAAGCACAAAGCCTTTTCTTTGAAATAAAAATCCAAGAGCTTCTTCCTTCTCCTAGCTAAATCATTCATTTTACCATAAATCAAATCTTTGGAAATAGCCATGAAATACATTATCTGATACGGTGGAAAACATTCCTGAATAGTATCTTAATGTTCTTAAATGATTTCTCTGACCACCCAACAATGTATTTCTAACAGCTGGTTTCCCTAAGAGATCTGCCTACCAAATACAATACCTTCAGTACAGCATATACCCTTTAGCATAAGTTCATTTCATATTCAGATTTCTGTCATTTATCATTCTTAGACTGCCATTTTTTGTCAGAATAATTATAACAGGTTTAAATAGCTTCTCTTTCTGTAATCTAAAACCAACTAGAAATAAAATACACACCAAGATACCAAAATCTTTCATGCTTAAAGGCAAATGTATTCAGTTCCTTCCCATGCAGCACATAAGTTAACTATCTGCTTCTTTTCCAAATCAAGTGTGGGACAACCTTTGAGGACCCATTCATGGCAAATGATCTTGCAATGTATTCTGGTAAGTATTTCATAAGGGAAAGGACATTTTTGCTGACCTACAGATTGACCAAGTGGGGAGTATACTGGGAGGAGAGCTAATGTCTAATGTCTCTTCCATCACCATCAAGCTCACAGCAGGCAGGGCCTGTATTAACTTGTACCAACAGATGCCTATAGAAGCCAATTCAGGTTTGACACAACAGGGAGGAAGGCATGGGAGAACAGGAGAGACTTGATGTCCTATGATGGAGTGTAGAGGCTGCTGATTAGAAAAAAATCAGAACAATGGAAGTGAAGTTGTCCTCCTTAGGATGCCATGCCAAGCAAAAAGCCTCCAAAAAATCCTCCAGTCACTAGAACATTCTTCTTCACAAATGACACAACCTGTGAATAAAAGATTTGGCACAATGAGTGAGTCAGCTGCTAAGAATGATAATATTAGGAATCATTTCTATTACTGTTGTTGATTAACAAGTGAGGTCCTTATTTCCTTAAACTCCCAAAGATTCCCACCATTCACCTACCTTCCTACAAAAGCTCCTATTCATCTGAGGCTCAGAACATACACTTAGGTACCCTTTATGGCTCCTTTGTCTATGTGCTATCAATCTCCTGACTACTTCCCTTAATACATCCTAATCATTTCTTGAACTCCAATGCAGTAGCTTTATCTGCCAACCATACAAGGGACTCACATCTTGGCATTCCCCATCATTCTACCATTCTATCCTTTTTGAACCAGTTTCTAAACCATCTGGTGTCCCCTCACTGCCACAATGCCTATGTCTTCCTGCCTCATTTCTGCTCTAATGCCTAACTTTTCCTAGATCTCATTTCCCTAAACAAAGCACTTAAAATAACTGCATTCATTTACTACTTTTACTTTATTTCTACTCATTCTTCAACTTGTTAGTTTTGCTTTCAACTCCACCAGCAAACTAAAACTCTTCTTCATGAAGTCATCTTATTGCTAAAAACTGAACTTATCTTCACCCAGCTTCTTAAATCAGACCACAAGTTGTATAATTCCCCATAGATGTCCTCCTCTGCCACATTCCACTATGGGCCAAAGTACCAACTGTCCCTTTAATGCTAGCCAATATAATTTAACCTGGCTTTTTGCAGTAGATCAGGGGTCAGAGAACTACAGCCCATGGTCCATATCTATTCTGCTATTTTAAATAAAGTTTTACTGCAACACAACCACATCCCCTTCTTTATATATCATCTATGGCTACTTTCACCCTACATAGTAGAGTTGAGTATTTGTGACAAAGACCATATGAGCAACAAAGCTGAAAATACTTACCATCTGGCCCTTTACAGAAAAAGTCTGTCAACCCCTCAGCTACTTACTTACTACTTACGTGTAGAACAAGCAGAGTATGGATGTTTCAGATATAAGCAGGCATGGAAATAAATTTAACTCAAAATGATCACACTGAAAATACATCCTTTAACATCCACTGTGGTGCCCCCATGTCTACATATCCGAGTTAACTACAAGTACTGTCTATATCACTTTGTACTTTCACTCACTGAAAAAGGTCAACAAATACTTCAATTATGTAGCTTTAAAAAATGCCTCTGAAATGCAGATATTCCAACTAAGGCTTAACTACACAATATAGCTCTTGTCTCATTACTCCAAATTCTTTTAAGTTTTAAGCCATATCCATCACTGAGATACTGGCATATCTATCTACCCCATCTTATACATACAAAACTGTCTATATCCTTTGTATACTGGATTTGAACAAAACAATTCTCACCTCTTCAGCTTTACTCTTGACCTCAGTTGGTATTTGGTTGCTCTTACGAATCTTTAGCTGTTCTTTGGCTTTTTTCATGTCCTTTTCTACTCGCTGCCAATCAACTTTAATATACCCAGTATGGTTTGCAAGCTATAGTTTGAACAATGACAAAACAAACATAAGCTCGTTATTCCTTTTTCTCAGAATAAATTACTTTCCATTTTTTCAGACAGCTGCTCTAGTTATTTGTGGGATGACATTCACTCAACATCTCTTTAGTATCGACCCTATATGAAATGTCCTATGTTTGGTACTAGAAATAGGCCCTCAATAGGCCGGTACGCAATGGCACATGCCTGTAATCCCTGCAGCTTGGGAGGCTGAGGCAGTAGGATCATGAGTTCAAAGCCAGCTTTAACAAAAAGCAAGGTGCTATGCAACTCAGTGAGACACTGTCTCTAAATAAAATACAAATAGGGCTGAGGACGTGGCTCACTGGTCGAGTGCCCCTGAGTTCAAGCCCCAGTACTCCCCCACCAAAAAAAAAGAAATAGGTCCTCAATAACTGCTGGCAATTTTTTTACTTATACTCTTGTCCCTTTACACAGTTTTAAGTTAGCTTAAAAACTAAGATGATAAAATGAAAATCAATGTTGACAGGTGTGTGAAAACAACTCTTAAAAAATTTTTATTGGTATGCTATACATAAAAGTGGGATTCATTGTTACACATTCATACATGCACAGAATATAATAATATAATTTAGTAAGTTTTATACCCTAGTGCCTCTCCTTGATCTCCCTTCCTCTTTCCTCTTGGTCTCCTATCTAGTGAAAACAATTTTTTAAAAACTATTTTTTTAGTTATACATTGACACAATATCTTTATTTTGTTTGTTTATTTTTATGTGGTGCTAAGAATAGAACCCAGGGTCTCTCACATGTGAGGCAAGCAAGCTATCACTGAGCCACAACCCCAGCCCCACAATTTTATCAAAGAATTGTAAATAGGATAAAATTAATTCAACTATGTAGTTGTCTGATGGGTTAGTTTCTTTCAAGGAATGAAGACAATGACTGTAGCTATCCCCAACAATATTATTTCTATTTATCAAAATTTTTATATGTCATCTAAAACTGAAACTCTTCACCCTTCTAATGTTTCCTCCAGCTGCTTATTTTCTTCTCATCCCTATTTAATGACACCATCAGCCAACCTAGTCACCCAAACAGGCTGGAGAAAATATGCGCTATCACAAAACATTAATACTCATAAAATATTATTTTAGAGATAGTTAAAAAAACCACTTGAAAAATCCATAAAGATAATTTACAAAATAAGATGGCAAAAAAGGAAAAAATTCAACTTCAGAAGTAATGAAGGAAATTAAAATTAAAATAAGAAGTCAGCCACCTATAATTTTGCAGGGGGTAGGGCTTACCAGGGATTGAACCCAGGAACACTTTATCACTGAGCCACATTGCAAGCCCTTTTCATTTTTTGAGACAGTCTCACTAAATTGCTAAGGCTGGCTTTGAACTTGTGGATCTCCTGTCTCAACCTCCTGAGCTGTTGTGATTGCAGGCATGTGCCACAGTGCCTGGTGAGCTACTTACAATTTTTATCAGATTGGAGAAAATTATAAGATTGAAAATATCCTGTGTTAGTGAGGATGTAGGAAAGCAGACACTGTTATTATGTTCTGAGGGTGTTCACTGGAGACTTTAAAAATATTTTTTGGTGTTGTAGGTGGACAGAATGCCTTATTTGTTTAGTTTCATATGGAGCTGAGGATCAAACCCAGCCTCACACACGCTAGGCAAGTGCTCTACCACTGGGCTACAGCCCCAGCCCCTCAGTGGACACTTTTAAGAGAATAACTTGGCGTTATCTACCAACACTGAATCTCCATATGCTGTTATTTATATTATGGTAGGTTTACTTGTTATAGGCATAACTGGAAATAACTCACAAGTCTATCAGTAGGGGAAAGGATAAACAAATTATGTCATGTTTACACAATAAATATTACTTAGTACTAAAAAGAATAAAGCTATTTATAGTAGCAACAGAGTTGAATATCAAAAATTGTATGCTAAATGAAGGCTCCAGTTCATTTCACCCAGTTCCTCCCACAGAATCCTCTTATTACACCAACAGAATACATAGAATAGCTATTTGAGGACTATAACAAGAAAAGAACAGCACACAGACTGGAAAAGACCAGAATTCAAAGTACCACCAAATTTGTTATGTTTCCTGTTTTGTCTGCAGTCCCATCTGGCCTCTCCTTGAAGACATGAAAACATCTGACAAAATTCAATACACATTAATGATAAAACTCTCAGTGAAAGTAGAAATAGAGGGAAACTTCTTCAACTGGATAAAAAACATCTACAAAACCCCTATAACTAACATTGTAAAAAATGTTAAATAATGAATGCTGAGGCAAGGCAAAGAGTCCATCTCTCCATTTCTACTCAGCATCATGCCAGAAGTGAAGTCATACTCAATGCAATAGACAAGAAAAAATAGGAAGGCATCCAGATTGAAAAGGTAGAAGCCACAATATCCCTGTGTAGAGATATCTTTGTCTACACAGGGGATCTCAAAGAATTCAACAAAAAAATCTCAAAGAATTCAACAAAAACCCAGAAATTCCTCAAGTTAAAAAAGTGAGTTTAGCAAGGTCACAGGATACAAGATCAACATACAAAAGCAACTGAATTTCCCTATGATAGCAATTTGAACTGGAAGTGGAAATTTTAAAATGATGTACAGTAGCTGCAAAAATATTAAATACTACACATAAATCCAGCAAAAATGTACAGGTGTTCTATATGCTGAAAACCACAAAATGCAAAGAAAGAACTCAGACAATCCAAATACATGGAAAGGCATGCTGTGTGCGTGAAACACAATACCAGTAGGATTTTTATAGATATAAAGCAGGTTCTAAAATTTATATGGAAAGGAAAGGAACTAGAGTAACCCAAATAATTTTGAAAAAGAGCAGAACTGGAAAAATCATACTACCTGATTTTAATATTTGCTATAATATTACAGCAGTCAAGACACAGTATGGTACTGAAGAAGAGAGACACATACAGATCAATGGACTAGAATAAAATGCATAGAAACAGACTACACAAATAAACAATGATTTTTTTTAACAAAAGTGTAAAAGAGTTAATGGAGGTAGGTGAAGTGTCCCACAAGACCAAGCCACGACTATGAGATGTCTCTGTGCTCTCAACTTGCATGACTGGTAAAATGCACTGAAGGATTTAAAAAAACAAAACTGTGAAAAGAAGCACCTCTACTGACAAAGCATCATGATCCTCACTGCAAAGGAGAAACACTGAAGTCCAGTCCACCAGGGCAAACAGGAAATTGGATATGTTGATAAGTGGCACATTAATCAGTCATGGGTATTGTTGCTGTGTATTGACTGAAATCTGGCTGGAAAGCTGCAAGAAGTAACTGAAACAATTTTTAGCTTGGTAAAAAAACAAGAAGCAATTAAATTCACAAATACTATCAAGTAAAAATATCATTGTTCATAGATGGTATATTTTTATACATAAAGCCTCAAAGAATCTCATACAAATCAAATAAGAGGCATCAGCAAGGTGGTTGGCTATCAGGGTAACATAAAATATCAACTGCATTTCAACATATGAGTTAGAACATGCAATTTTAAAATTTTTATCATATACAAGAATGACTAGAGCTATAAGATATCTAGAAATAAAACCAAATCACAGGATGTACTAGAATGAAAAAAAAAGAGACAGACACAGAGGCTCAGCCAGCCTACTCATCTGATTCTAGCCACCATTTGCCATGATTGCCATGCCAACCATATGAGATCCTGAGCCACAGCACTCACCTTAACCCTTGCCAAACTCCTGACTTCTCATTATCCATGAGAGAGAACAAAATGATTGTTGTCTGAAGCCATTAGGTTTGAAGGGGTATGTTATGCAGCAGTACTATACCTCAACCAAGCCTCAGCCAGTTACTAACTTTCTTCTTCCACACATTAAATTTTCACTTGACCTGTCTGGAAAACTCACTGCAATTATGATTCTTTTTTTTTTAAACCAGATAAGTACACTGTAGTTGGACATGATGCCTTTATTGTATTTATTTATTTTTATGTGGTACTGAGGATTGAACCCAAGGCTCACACGTGCTAGATGAACGCTATACCGCTGAGCCACAATCCCAGTCCATGCAATTATGATTGTAGTACAGAACTTACCTTGCCAAAATTAAGGATGCCAATTCTTGGAGGAAACAAAGGGCTGTGATTTCAGATACCTGCATGTTCAACAAGTTATGGCTCCTACAGAGTAGCAATTCTCACATACAGATGCACGTTAGCGTCATATTGCGGGTTTTAAATATTCTGCTATCAGGCCATGCCAACCTTCAATGAAATCAGACCTACTTACAAGCATCATTGTCCTTATTTCTTTCCTTAGACTGAGAGAACCCACATTCACTGGTTCTGAAAACTGTGGGCTCTAACAGGGAGCTCAATGTCCCCAATGTTAAAGCTGAATATATTACCCTATGAGAATAAATTATATCACAGGGAACTTATGCTACATTGTGTATTTTTGAAATCACATATATTTAATATTTCAGTAATTCTTAAGGAAGCTATAAAGAATATGCACTTCTGTCCTATGTTATGAGGAAATAGAATGTGAGTAGGACTTGATAAAATTTGACTCAAATAGTTACTAGCATTTAAAATATTACATAAAAATAAGGTGTAAAAGCTATTCTAGCATAATATAGCCAGGACTTCACTACAACACTTCACACAACATTCCTCAATGGGCATACACAGAATTCCCATACATCTAGGAATATTCCATATATATACAGACCTGAAGGAGAAAAAATCCGCCTCCCACAGCTGTTGCAGCCAATTTTCCAACCTTCTGGAAGATGAAACCAGTGCACCTACAAGAACCAAACCAACATCAGATGAGTAGACACACTGTCGGATGTACACAAAAATGCATTTCTGATCATGGTCATATTTTCCTTACCTTGAGTTGATCTACCTCCTGCCTACCCCCTACAGAAAGGCAGTCCCAAAGGAAGCATGACATAAAGAAATAAAATCCTGACTGACTAAAAAGATGGAGGCAGAAGCAACACAGAAGAGAAATGTTGCTGGACTAGATTCGGGGACAGAGTGACAGCAGGGTAAAAAGGATAGAATTTTGTCCCAAAAGACTATTTGGACAATAAGTAGCATTTTTATGGTATGAAAAGAAGAGGACCATAGGAAAAGGTAGGTAAGGGGAGGGGAAAATATAATGCTATTTTGTAAATGCAGAATGTGAAATGTCCATGAACCTGAGTGGTTACCTCCAGTTGCCAGTTTAATATAACTATTTTATTTGTTTCTTTATTATTGTCTATCATTCTGCCTCCACCTTCATTAAGACATAAGCTTCAAGGGGGCAGAGATTTTATCTAGCTACTGTGAATCCTGCTACAATGATCGCTGTAGTGCAAACATCTCTGACAGACTGATTTCATTTCCTTTGTATGTGTAACTAGTACTGGGATTGCTGAATCATATTGTTATTCTATGTTTAATATGTGAAGAACTTGCATATAGTTTGTACATGTAATTGTATAAATTAATGGGTTTCAATGTTGCACTGCCATCCATGTATATATCAAGCTTTCATCATGTCCTTCCCTTTTCCTCACTCCCCTTGACTGCCTTTTCACACCCTAATACTCCCTCTTCAACTTTAGGTTATCATTGTATGGTTATTTTTATTTATTTGACTTTTAGTTTCCTCCTATGAGAGAAAACATTTGCTAATTGTTTTTCTGTGAATGACTTATTAAACTTAACACAGTGTCCCCAGTTCTAGGCAAATAGCAGGATTTTATTCTTTATGGTTGAATAATAGCCATGATGTTTATATAATGTATTTTTTACCATTCATCTACCACTGTGAATATACACCATCTTTTCTTTATTCATTCATCTGTTGATGGGTACCTGGACTATTTCCATATCTTGTTATACACATAGGTATGTAGATATCTCTTTGTATGCTGACTTCATATCCTTAGGCTATATATCCAGTAACGGTACAGCTGATCATATGGTAGTTCTATTTTCAGTTTTCTGAGAAAACTCCATACTGTTTTCCATAATGTCTGTACAGTTACCAACAGACTATGTACCCTTTTCTCTATAGGACTGACAGCATTTTAACTTTGTCTTTTTGATGACAGCCATTCTAACTGAGGTTCATATGAGCATTGCTTGTAACAGTCAAAACAAGTCCAATACCAGTCATAGACTAGATAAATATACCATGCCATGTTCACACAATGCAACTATAAATACAAATGAAAATGAAGAAACTATAACTACATACAACATGGATGAATATACAAAACACTGATTGAACAAGAAAAAAAAAAAGAACCAAAAAATACATACTGCTGGGGAGGATGAAACAGGAGGATCGTGAGTTCAAAGCCAGCCTCAGCAACAGTGAGGCACTAAGCAACTCAGTGAGATCCTGTGTCTAAATAAAACACAAAATAGGGCTGGGGATGTGGCTCAGTGGTCGAGTGCCCCTGAGTTCAATCCCTGGTACCAAAAAAAAAAAAAAAAAAAAAAAAAAAAAAAAAAAAAAAGAAAAAGAAAGGAAATAACTCAACAATTATTCTAGTTATCTTTGAACTTGTGATCCTCTCAAGCTGCCACATTTAAAAAAAATATTTATTTTTTAGTTGTAGTTGGACACAATACATTTATTTTATTTATTTATATGTGTTGCTGAGGATCAAACCCAGGGCCTCACATGTGCTAGGCAAGTGCTCTACTGCTGAGCCACAACCCCAGCCCCCACATTTTTTTTAACCTGAGTAGTTGTTACATAGTTTACTCTCTCATTTTTCTTTTTTTGCTATTAGAGACGTATTTATTCTCAACACAAAAAAATGATAAATGTCTGAGGTAGCAGATATGCCAATTAGTATGATCTAATCATTACACATTGCATGTGTGTTGAAATGTCTTGTTGTATCCCATAAATATGCATAATTACTATGTGTCAATTAAAAATATAGATTGTAAATAAAAATAATAAAAGATTTAGTAATGTTCTGTAATATTATATTTACAAGAAAAACAAAAACTGAAACATAAGAAAGTATCTTTGGTACACTCAGCCTTTCATATCTAAGAGTTCTCCACTGAGGGATTGAAAATATTTGAAAAAAAAATCTGTACTGAACATATACAGACTTTTTTCCTTGTCATTATTCCCTAAACAATAAAGAATAACAACTATTTATATGTGTATTATCTCAGGTATAAAAGTAATTTAGAAATTATTTAAAATATACATGAGGATGTACATAGGTTAAATGTGAATATCATTTTATATAAAAGACTTGAGCATCCACAGACTTTGATCCATGAGGGATCCTGGAATTAATCCTCCATACGAGTTGACTCCCTATTTGTGAAAATGAACGCTTACCATGTACACTGTTCTATAGTTGTGTTAGATTGTATAATAAGATTTTTCAAATATAAAGAGTTTCTGAAATTGAAGGATTCAATATACACTTACTAAATTTCCTATTAACACGAAAGGGAGGGGGATAAGAAAAGTAAGACAGACAGTGGAATGAATCCAAAATAATTTTTCTATGTACTTATATATTAACACACCATAGTGAATCCCACCATCATTTACATCCTTAAGAATGGTGGTCGCTAGGCACATGGTGGTGCTTGCCTGTAAGCGCAGTGGCTCAGGAGGCTGAGGCAGGAGGATCATGAGTTCAAAGCCAGCCTCAGCAACATGAAGATACTAGGTAACTGAATGAGACCTTGTTTCTAAATAAAACACAAAATAGGGCTGGGGATGTGGCTCAGTGGTTGAGTGCCCATGAGTTCAATCCCCAGTATCCCCCCCCAAAAAAAACAATTGGGTCCTAACTAGAATAAGATATATTCCATGGTTGTAAATTATAACATAATGAATCATATTGTCGTATATAAAAGTAAAAGAACATATATATACATATATATGACAAATGAAAACATAATTTGTGTCACATTATCATCTGACAGCTAATAAATGGTTAGCTCCTTGTTGTATCAATAGCTATATTGCCTTGGGCAAATGAATCTTTCTGAGCCTCAGTTTCTGTAAAATTTCAGAAGCTGACCAATTTTGCCAAAGTCAAATGTACTTTCATTAATTAGAGAAGATGGCTCCTATAACTGCAATACCAAATCATGCACAAAAGACACTGGATATCTTTCACATCACTTACCATCCAGTGACACCTCCAATTAACAGCTGGGTTGCCACGCTATACTTTTCAGCTGAAGGCCCAGATTCCTGCCCAAACAGTTTGCGCCACCATGGTTGCTTTTTAGCAAATTCTGCAAGGTCCAGCGACTCAAAATTTCCCTCAAAGCTACCTACAAGAATTAACATGCAAAATAAGAAAATATTCATTTTAAAGTGAATCATTACCATTTTAAACTAGATTAAGAGATCTTTGTTTTGTTTTTGTAACTGATAAACTGGTTCAAAATTTATATGAAAGTGCACAAGGACAGAATAGTGTTTTGGTTACTATGGCTGTACAATAAATTACGACAAACTGGGATAGTAGTGCATTCCTGTAATCCCAGCAGCTTGGGAGGCTTCAGACAAGAGGATCACAAATTCAAAGTCAGCCTCAAAAACTTAGGGGGGAAGTAAGCAATTTAGCAAGGCTTTGTGTCCAATTTTAAAAATGAAAATAAAAAAGTTGTGGATGTGGCTCAGTGGTTAAACCTCCTGAGGTCAATCCCTGATACCAAAGAAAACAAACAAAACACACACAGAACTATAACCATTTATTATGCTCTCAGATTCTATGGGTCAGACTTTCAGCCATGCCATTAAGACTTGTCTCTTGTTTTGTGAGGTCTGATATTTTAGCTAGGAAAGTTTGTTGTTAAGTGCCCTTAAACTTGTGAGACTCCTGCCTCAACTTTTTGAGTAGCTGGGATTACTGGCCTGTGCCACCATGGAACCTGAAAAGAAGAAAATTTAAGGAATTTCAAAACTTATTATAAGGGCACACTACAATTTACAACTACCCAATTTCAAGATTTATAAAAGTGTAGTATTCAATACCCTGTTTAACTGATCTAAGGATACACAAATATACCAGTGAAAGAGAACACCACATCCAGAAATAGATTCACACATTCTGTCATATTATTTTTAGTAACAAAGAACTAAGGTAACTCAATGGGATAGAGTGAGTTTTCTTAACATATTGTGTTAGACCTAGTAAATATTAATATTTAAAAAACAAAAGAATTTTAAGTTGTAGTTTGTACTATATATAAAATAAAAATTCAAGAACTAATTGAAGGCTGGGCATAGTGGCACATGCCTGTAATTCCAGCAATTTGGGAGAGTGAGGTAGGCAGATTGGAAGTTCAAGGCCAGCTTCATCAAGTTAGGGAGACCTGTCTGGAAATAAAAAGTAAAAAGGGTAGTGTTGTTGGTCAGTGGTAGGTTATCCTTTGGTTTTATTTTCAGTAGTGAAAAAAAATTAATTCAGGATAGATTGTGTATCACAATTTAGCAGAGCCATAATATGGATGAGTGAAGAAGCAGATCCTGTAAGATCTTAACAGTAATTAAATTTGTATAATATAACAAGAAAACATTACTGTTTAAGAAGAAATGATCAGTGAAAATCAATGAGTTTTGAGGTTTTCTTACAATGTGTTTTTACCAAGCTCCTAAGGTCAATAATTAGTTCTAGTTAAAAGGGGGATAAAGGGGCTGGGATTGTGGTTCAGTGGTAGAGCACTCATGTAGCATGTGTGAGGCCCTGGGTTTGATCCTCAGCACTACATAAAAATAAATAAATAAAGGTATTGTGTCCACATACAACTAAAAGAATATATATTAAAATAAATAAAGGTATCACATCCATCTAAAACTAAAAAAAATCTTTTTTAATTTCTTGTCTTCTAGTTTTGTATATAACTCTTCCCGAACTAGAATTAACTTGTTATAATTCACAAAACTCTTTGATTTTAATGAGGGAAGAATTTTTAAAAAATGTTTTAAAATGGGGGGGATTAAATTAGGGAACTGTGGGGTTTATCTAATTTCTTTTAGACATTCATGAAACATGGCTATTCATCAAATAGTAGCCATGTTTATTATCATGTGATCATCAGCATGACAAAGATTGTAATGTGTGTGAATCTCAAAATTTTTCACTTTAGGTGTGGTGGCACACGCCTGTAATCTCAGTGGCTCAGGAGGCTTGAGGCAGGACGATCACGAGTTCAAAGTGAGTCTCAGCAACTTACGAAGGTGCTAAGCAACTTAGTGAGACTCTGTAAATAATATACAACATAGGGCTGGGTATGTGGCTCAGTGGTTGAGTGTCCCTGAGTTCAATTCCCAGTATCCTCCTTTAAAAAAATTCACAAAAGCATCCCTAAGTAGCATTATCTGATCAAGGTGTACATTTTAAGTGAGTGCCTGCAGTTTGTTTTGCAAGACAACAATGGTCAACTGCTTGGAGTCACCTAAATTAAGTGGTGTTGATAAATGCTTAATTATTGGCTTTAGGTAGGAATTCATTTATAGTACATACCAATTTCTATGGTGTATTTGTTGAGCATAAATTGTGACATTACTGAAACCAGTACTGGGAAGAAATGCACATATAAAATAGATGTAAATTACTGAAGGGGCATAGATAACTGTAAAATATGGTAAATAATGAGATGATGAGGTTTGAGTACTTTCATTTTAATACAGTATCCCCAATATTTTTTCCCTAAAAAACACGGTCTTGCTAAATTGTGAGGGTGGTTTTGAACTTGCAATGCTCCTGCTTCAGTGTCTCGAGTCCCTGGAATTATAGTCGTGCACCACCAAGCCCTGTTACTGCAAATCATGTTAAGGTAAGGTCCCTGTTAGTAAATTGACTAAACGGAGTATTTGAAAGTAATATGTCATATGTCGTTCTTTTTTGAAAAACCATAAATAACGCAGATGGGGAGGCCCGAATGAAAATGACACCCGCCCAACATTTAATATGAACGTCCAAAGGGACAAAGAGGCTATTCTCGAGGGAATGGAACGCTTCCGACAACAGGGACGGAATGTCTCCAGGACTCAGCAGTTGGGAGCGGTACCGGAAGTCTGCACGAGCACGCCACGAAAACAACATCCCAGGCAGTTCAGCCCCAGCCCAGCGCGTGACCTTGGCCGGACTTTGGAGTGACTGGGCCGGGGGAGGGTCATGGCGCCTTATCCTTCCCCTAGCCACTAGGGTCCCCTGGGGAGCTCGTCACGGGCTGGCAGGCGCGGAGCCCTCCCACTTCCAGAGCCCTGGAAGGCGGCTCCCCAAGGCGCAGCTCGCGCGCGCACCAGCCCTTACCTTGACTGGACGCAGCCATTTCGGCGAGCACTTCTCGCGAGGCCACTCGCAGAGGATCGGCGCGGCAGGACGCGGAGTACCGCGCTGGTGTGGTTAGCAAGCTTCCGGCACGTGGGGCAGATGTTTCCATTCCCACGGCGGCAGCGGAAGAGGGCGGGCTAGGCGCGGCAGCACCTGCCCGCCCCCTTAACAGCTGCGTCACAAGGCTCTGCGGTCGGCGTCACAAGCCCCATAGCCCCGCCCAAATGACTTGCGCAGATACGCTTCCGCAAAAACCCTCTTCGCTCCGGTAACCACCATGCTACCCTTCCCTAATAAGAATATTTCACCCGAAACTGGACATGGTTATAAAAAGGCCTGGAGACGTGGCTCTGTGGCAAAGCACTCTGGGCTCAATTCCCAGTACCCCCGCCCCCCCAACTTTTTTCACCTAAAGCTGTGCTCGTCTAGTTTGTAATCACTGACCACATATCTGCTCGATGTATCATCTCCTCAGATATGCCCACAACTGTTTCAAGGTGGAAAACACAATTTACACATTTAAAACATTCCAATCACAACATACTTATGTGTCTTAACTACTACTTATTGTCTCCTTCTATTTTTCTTTGCTGTGCACCCGCTGCCTACAACAATCTCTGTTTAGGACAAATGGGTATTGGCATTAAGAAAACACTTTAACCTCCCTCTGCCTCAGTTGTTTATCTGTACCCATTTGACAATGTTATCGTGAGGATGAAATCAGTAAGTGCTAAACAGCTGGCACACCCTATATTGTGAGTATATGTCTACTTTTTTTGTCGTTCCCATTAAACTGTGACTCTCAGATGACACCAACAGGGTTTATTCATTTCTGGGGCATAAAAGTTTACCACACTAATTAGGAGCATGATTTCTACAGCTCAATTATATATATTTCAATACTACAGCTTAAAAACTGTGTGACCACGACCAAGTTCCCTAACCCCTTTCTGCTTGGTTGCACTGCCCCAGAAATGAACACAAGAATAGCAGATATGTTACAAATTACTCACATAGATTTCCTGCATATACTACCTGCCAGCTATTATCTTTGCATGCCGGTTCCTAGAACATAGGAGGTCTCACCAAATGTCTATCAAACAGATTTTTCTCGATACTTGTTAGCACGCTAGACAAAAGCTCAACAATTACTCAATAACCATTCTCATTCGCGCAGAAGTGGACTAAATGATAACATTTCTTATAGCTGATAAAGTTTCTTTACCTTAGCTCCTGCACTTTGAGACATTTAGGAAGGCACTCAATCCCTCTAATACATATTAACCTGAGTACACTCTCTGCTTGACCTCAGCATGGCTACATTTTGAAGTAAGGAGATATATCCTATACCTGGACCAAACAAATACATCAGATAACAGGACCACAAATAAATAAACAAAATCAATGACACATACTCATGAATACTTTTAAGAAAAAGGAAGCTGATAGACTTATTCAATAACAGTAAACATCTCAACCATTTGAAACCTCACAGGCAAAATTTGAGCCAAAACTCAAAGGAAATATAGGAACGGAATCACATGAAGATACAAGACAAAGGTGTTTAAGGTAAAGGACTATACTACTATACTGTAGGCCATGAGACATTTCATGCCTCTAGGAAAAAGCAAGGAGGACAGCATGGCAAGAGCAAGCTCAGATAAAAAAAAAATACATAAAAGCAACATGCAGACAATGTGAGATGCTTTAGGCCATGGTAAAGTTATACGATTTTTTAAATACTTATTTTTAGGTGTAGATGGACACAACACAATACCTTTATTTTTATGTGGTGCTGAGGGTCAAACCGGGGCCCCTCCTGTGCTAGGTGAGCGCTCTACCACTAAGCCACAATCCCAGCCCAAGTTACAAGATTTTACCTAAGAAGGTAAGAAGCCATTGGAGGATTCTCAGCCACACAATTGACATGACTCACTTCATAGTTTTAAAGTCACTTGTGTTGTACACAATGGTGCACATCTGGTAATCAGCTTGGGAGGCTGAGGCAGGAAGATCGCAAGTTCAAAACCAGCCTCAGCAACTTAGCAAGGCCCTGAGCAATTTAGCAACTCTCTGTCTCAAAATTAAAAACAAAAACCCTGGGGATGTAGCTCAGTGGTAAACTGTCCCTGGTTCAGTCCCCAGAACACACACACACACACACACACACACACACACACACACATCACATTGTGGGAGTTTGGAGTTACACAAGACCTAAGGGTGAAAGCAGAGTAACTAATATGAGAGTCGAGAACCTTTCACATCCTGAACCTTCTCTTGTTGCTGCCCCTAAGGGACAGAGTCAGAGTAGACCAGGAAAATTAGTAGATATTAAAGCATCTCTTCACTGTGACCTCCCTCCTTCTTTTCCTTTCCTCCAAAATTCTAATGTATAGTAGACATTTCATGCCTCTACTGCCTTCAGAAGTGAATGGGTTAAGCATTAGCTCATGCACCCTTTTCCTACTCCAGTTTTTCCTGTGGCTGCTTCCCAATGCCCAAAAGGAAGCAGTTCTGTCTGGTACTGCTTACTGCTCATGCTGCTGTCACATCCAGCAGATGAAGTCCCCTACATTTCTCTTCAAAACATTTGGGACTTTTCACAAAATCATAGAAAATTTACCTTTTTTCTCCTGGGAGCTAAAGATATTTTAGAGAACAATTACACTTTTATTTCTGCTGTAGAACATTTTCTAGCAATAAGAGCCATGCACATAGAACTCTCTAGCTGCTTCTTTCTGTGCCTTTTACAATTCAGCTTTAGTGCCATCCGAAGATATTACCTGGGTGCTGTGGAACTCTCCTGGGATTATATGAAAAGTGACCTGCTCAGTGAGCTGCATGTTGACACAAGGTAAAGGCTATACCTATATTCCTACAGCATTATGGGGATGTGATTCTGGTTGGAGAAAGTTGCTGACTGCAAGTTAGGATGGCTATAATGCTTAGTTAAACCCTGATAAAAAACATTTCCAGGTAAGGTGTCATTTCTTTTCAGACATCTAACCTATTAGTTGATGTTTTGTTCTGTTTTGCCCATTGCATCTCTGTCACATTCTGCAACTCTGAAATGTGCAGAGTGTGGTAGAGAGACAAGCAGCAAAGGAAAAAGAACCAAACTTTCCTTGACCTATGCAAACTTTCATAGGCACAATCAGAACAGTGAGATCCAATCAACTGAACTGAGTTTAGTTTCCAGTTCTCTGATGTGTGTATGTGATATGTTTTTTCGTAGTATTAGCTGTGATTTCAGAAGCTTTTCCTCTTTTGGAGGTTCTGGAGCATTTACTCATTTACTCTGAGGAAAGTAGATGATCTTTACAGTAATACATGCAGTCATTGGTTCATTCACATTTTTCTACCTCTTCTCCAGTCAGTTTTGGTTATATATGTTTTAGAAATAATAGAAAGCAATTTATTATCCCCAGATTTGATAATGTATTGGCATTGAGTTACATAACAGTCTCTGTGATTTTTTATTTTAGGTCGTAGGGATTAAACCCAGGGGCACTTTATCACTGAGTTACATCTTCATCCCTTTTAATATTAGCCATGATTTTATTTTGAGAAAGTATTTTGCTAAATTGCTTAGAGATTTGTTAAGTTGCTGGGGCTGCCTTTGAACGTAGATCCTCCTGCCCCAGCCTCCCAAATTGCTGGGATTATGGGCATGGACCACCAGACCCATTAGTCTCTGTGATTTTCGTTGACCTATTCTGTGTCTGTAATATTACCTTTTCATTTCCTTATGATGTTTATTCTCTTTCTGTCTTCAAAATTCTTCCAGAATTTTCTTGATTTTATTGGTCTTGCAAAGAACAACCTTTTGGATTGATTTATCAATTATTTTTTTCTTTATGGAAGTCATTCCTTTTTTTCCAATTTCATTGGCTTTGTTTTGTTGTTTTACTTTTGCTTTATTGAGTGAAATGCTGGAATTATTTATTTTAAATTTTGTGTTTTTTCCTTAAACGTGTACTATAAGGATTTAAACACAATATATAATTTATGCCAATGTAAATACTAAATGTAGTCATGTTATACATTATCATCTTTCTTTTTGATGGTGCTAAGGATTGAACCCAGGGCCTTGTGCAGGCGAGGCAAGCACTCTACCAACTGAGCTATAGCCCCAGCTCTAAATTACCATCTTTGTTTGATTTTCCCCATTCTCCTTACACACACCCCTTCTTGCCTATCCCAATCAGGCATCCCAGGATGATAATACACACCTACCCATAAGGGTTTTCTTTTCCATAGTTTGTTTTATATAAGTGTGAACTTATACACACCTTTCCACTCACTTTGCACTATATCTTTGCACTCACTACCATATGTAGAGTGATGCTGCAACATTACTTTTTTTTAAGAGAGAGAGAGAAAGAGAGAGAGAGAGAATTTTTAAATATTTATTGTTTAGTTTTTGGCGCACACATCATCTTTATTTGTATATGGTGCTGAGGATCGAACCCAGTGCCACGTGCATGCCAGGCAAGCACGCTACCACTTGAGCCACATCCCCAGCCCTGCAACATTACTTTAATTGAATTATTTTTATTTCTACTGAGCTTAAGAAACTTCTAAAATGGAACTTGTTTATTTTTTTTCTTTGTGCTCTTTAACTTTTTAATTAATTACAAGACCCCTCTTATTATTTCAAGTTTTAATTTACTTCATGATTATTGCAATTTCCCAAGATCTATTATTTGTCTATTGCCCTTCGTTATAATTTTGCCAAAATGGCTTTAATTTTTATAGTCAACTATATATTTTCTTTCATATCATCAAAGTTGGCTGTTTAAAAATGTCTTCTACACTTCAGTGTTGCAAATTCTCCCAGATTTTCTTACAAGATTTTTACTGTTTTGCTTTTTACAACTCATTTGCTAATTATGTTTTCTATAGGGAATAAGAGAGGCATCTGTCTAGCTTTATTTTTATCCATATCAATGACCTATTATGATGGCATCATTTATAAAATAATTCAGCTTTACCATTAATTTGAGATAACACATTGATCTTATAAAAATTCTCACATAGCAATATGTGTTTTTGGATTTATTATGCTATTTCATTGCCCTACTATCATCTTGCTATACCAGTACCATATTGAGGTGATTATAGTGGACCTCTAATATATCCTGATATCTGGTAAAAGCAACCTTTATTATTTACTTATTTATTTATTCATCAATTCATTCCTTCGTTCATTCATTCAGGTACTAGGAATTGAAACCAGGGATGTTCTACTATTAAGCAACATCCTCAGCTATTTTTTTATCTTTATTTTGATACAGGGCCTCACTAAATTTGCTGAGGCTGGCCTTGAACTTGCAATCCTCCTGCCACAGCCTCCCAAGTTGCTAGGGATTACAGGCATGTGCCACTGTGCCAGGTAAATATCTTAAAGCTTTTTTTTTGTGGAAAAATAAATTGCCTAAGAATAACTAAGAAAAGTACAAAATGAACAGTGCAGATTGCTTTCACAGTCAGCCCACTGGCACACACCTGTAGTACCAGAGATTAGGAATGTTGAGGAAGGAGGATTGCAAGTTCAAGATCAGCCTCAGCAAGTTAGTGAGACCCTGTCTCAAAATAAAAATAGAAAGGTCTGGGTGTGTTCTTCAGTGGTAGAGTACCTCTGGGTTCAATCACTAGAACAAAAAAGTTAACTTATTTATCAGATTAAAAAGACCCAAGAGCTGTTGTGATTCTAACTGAAATTTCATTAAATTTTCACATTAACTTTATTAATATATTTAGGTAATTTTGTTATTGCATTATGCCTATGCATTTATAAATGTGTTGCTATTGTTAATAAAATGGTTTTCTCCTATAATCCCACATACTTGGGTGACTGAGGCAGGAGGATCACAAGTTCAAGGCCAGCCTAGGCAATTTACTAAGACTGTCTCAAAATAAAAAAGACTAGGGATGTAGTTCAGTGGTAAAGCACTTGCCTAGAATGTGTGAAGCCCATTTTAATATTGGGTTGAACCCCCAGTTTTCATTTGTAAATGCTTAGTACTAAAATAGAGAAAACCTATTACTTTGTGCATATTCATCTTGATCTAGTTCCAATACCATATTAATCATAATAATTTTAGCCTAATATTTGGGGGGGTTCAATCATATCATTAATAAAATGAGACAGATTTTAGATCTTTCTAATGTTTATAACCAATTATTTCATGTTCTTATCTGATAGAATTTATTAGAAAACATGAAAAACATTAGATAACAATAAACACAGCATTCCTGTGTGTTCCAGGGTTTCCCTTGAAATACTCTTAATATGTTGCTATTTAAAATAATAATTGCTGTGACTGGGGTTGTGGCTCAAGAGGTAGAGTGTTCACCTAGCATACGTAAAACACTGGGCTCAATCTTCAGCACCATAAAGTAGTATGTTATTTTCTCTTTTATTGTTCCTTTGTTTCTGATGCTGAGGGCATTTAAAACTATACATCTTTTTCTGAAATTCCACTAGTTTGAGTAATAATCATGTTCTTTTTATCTTGACTGAGCAAAGAAATTATTGATTCATTATCTGTGTTGTCTTATTGGCATGTACCTATGCAATGTTCACACATTAATTTCTTTTTAAAAAATATTTATTTTTTAGTTGTAGTTGGACACAATACCTTTATTTTATTTGTTTATTTTTATGTAGTGCTAAGGATTGAACCCAGGGCCATGTATGTGCTAGGTGGGTTCTCTACTGCTGAGCCACAACCCCAGCCCCCTCACACATTAATTTCTTAATGCAAAAAGTGAATGTGTCAACTATATTAGCTCTTGAAATGTTCACTTTTTGCATAAGAAATCTCACTATTTATTATTGAACAAAATAAAACAGCCTGAGTCTGTATATATTCCTTTTTCAGTCCTTTTTTTGGCTTAATAAGATTGCATTTATGTCTTGATGGACATTTTTGGCCATTATGAAGAATACTAGTACAGACATTCATATACAAATCTTTAAATGAACATATGTTTTCATTTCTATTAGGCATATTCTTTAATAGTAGAGTTTTTAGGTCAAATGGTATTTCTTTATTTAATTGTCAGGAATTACCCAACTGTTTTGCCAAACAGCTGCACCATTTTACATTCCTACTAGTAGTGGATAAAGGTATCAGTTTCTCAACATCTTCACCAATAATCATTGCTGTTATTTTTATTTTAGCTAACCTAAAGGGGATAAAATGGTTTGGATTTAGATTTATCTGATTAATGATATCAAATATTTTAATGTATATATTGACCATTTGTGTACCTTCTTTGCAGAAAAGTCCATTCACTCCTTTGCTTATCTTTTAATTAGATTATTTGTCTTTTAGGATTGACTTGTAAAAGTTCTTTATATATTCTTTTTCATTTTATTTGTTGTTTTTCGATATTCTTGATATATTACACCTTCATCAGATTATGATATGGAAATATTTTCCCCATTCAGTGAGTAGTCTTTTCACTGTTCTAATATTATCCTTTGAAGCCAAAGTTTTTCACTGTGATGAAGTCCAATTTATATATTTTTCCCTTTGATTGCTTGTACTTTTGGTGTCATATGTAAGAAATCAATGTCAAATTTAAAGTCACAAATATTTCACTTACATTTTGTAAGAGTTTTATGTTTTTAGCTCCTATATTAAAGTCTTTGACCCACGTTGAGTTAAATTTTGTGGAATGTGTGAGAAATTTAATGGAGTAAACTCATTTGTTACCTAACTTTCTGTTGTTGTGTAGGCAGTCAGATGTATTTACCAAGAAAAAGTTGATCAAATTTTTATTTCAATAATACTAGTTTATGATCCTGATTATTTTGATACTGATTAACAAGATAAGCTGACT